AATAAAAATAATAATAATAATAACAATAATAAAAAAATCACTGCATGTCATTTAATTTAATTTATATTTTATTTATTTATTTGTTTTAAGTTGTGAACGCTTTTTAGTCCACATTAGATTAAATAAATAAATAAAAGGTTTCCTTTCCTATGCAAAGCTTCAAATCCCAGTTGCTCCTTGCCAATCAGTTCCTGTAAGGACACAGCAAAATCTTGAAGGCTTGATCAACCAACAGCTGAGATTATCGATTCCTTAATGAGTTGATTCACTGTATGCAACTGTAACTCTCAACTCATGTTTAACAAATATCTTTGCAAATATCTCGTAATTGTAATAGAAAACTGCTGGCAAAGAAAATTAGCCGTAAAGATAAATATTTGTCGGTGTATCGTAAATGCAACTTTGTTGTTGCATTAAACTACTCTGCTCAATTTGGGGGCAATTTGGGGCTCTTGAAAATATTTTAATATTATTTAATTTGGTTTGATTTGTCACTGGAAGAGGAGGAGCAGTTCAGTAAACAATTGTTTGAAAATTGTCTAAATATTATTTATATTTAAATAAGCATCCTCTTTAATTGATTCACATGAATTCCAACAGAGAAATGAGACCGTTGCTATATTTGCAGTAATTTAGCAGTGTTCACAGTTGGAATATTAAATTGCCTTTATCTATGAGATCTTTTTACAATTGCTATAAAAGATGGCTCGACTAGGACTACAAAGATGCCAGCAATTTCACACTTCATAAATACTATATCAAGTTATATTCACCAATTATTAGCCCTTATCTTCAAAAATTGTGAAAATCGATTTTTCTGGCAAAATTTAATATAGATTTTATTATACTATGTTTAACTGGTTATAGCAAATCAACCAACATCATCTAAATATATAAAGACGAGAATATCTTGACCAGAATGGATTTATTAGTTTTCATTAAGTTAAGCAGCTTGTGAACAGCTTTTATTAAACAAAATATTATGTTTAATATTATTTTTAAGATAACTAAATACTTTATTTCGATTCGAATACCTTTTTGTGTTCAATTTAGATAGTTTTTGGATCTGAATTTAAGAAAAGGCAAAAAATATAATACAATTAATGATTTTGATATTGTGTAATTTAACATTTAACTTTTTAATTGTTGACTGTTGACTAACTAAACAATGCTAAATCATATTTTTATTTAATAGAAATATAAGTGAATATATAATTATAATTATGCTTAAGTCGAATTAATTAATTAATTAATATGTATATCTATATATTTTATATATATTACTCATCTGTCCTTTGGAATCTGAGGGGAGTTAATTCCAAGTTCAATTTTGGCAACTAATTAAATAATTTACTGAGCTAAATAGTCTTAGCTTGAGTGTAACTTTATGTTAAAAGATTCATGTTTCATCTGATTTCCAGTCTTCGATGGATTTTACACTGATCAATTCACTTGGACTTTTCAATAGGATTGGGTGCAAAGGATAAAAAAGGAATGAATATGGAATAAAATAGCCAAGTGGCGTAAAGCATATATATTCTTGATCAGCATCAACAGCCGATGAAATATTTCATTTTTAACTGTAACTTTGAGCAAATTCTTCAGACTCTTCTGAATGGATTAAAGCAACTTTATCCGAATGTTAAACAATCGTCGAAGAGTAAATCGATAAACCCCATTTGCATAGACATTTCACAAAATTATTGTATATAATAATAAAAATAATATGATATATATATCCTATATATGGATGAAATATATATCGCTGGTGACTTCCTTTAGAGTTCGTCTAATGATCAACGGTTTTATATTTTTAAGGATTGATTTGAATTTTATTTATTTGATGATGAAATGAAATATAAAATTCAACTTAAAGTTACAATTTCAACTATTTAAAATGAGAAGTGAAGTGAAATTAATAATAAAATAAAGTAGACTATAAATCTGGGCAATTTAAATGGTTTAATATTTATTACAAGAATGGGGAAGAACCAGATCAGAAACAATTCCATCAGACCATAAATTATGCTGATTTCAAGACAATTAATATCGAAATTTAGTCGTCGTTTTTTGTGAGCATTTTGCTGAGGAAGTCTTTAAATTGAATCCATCCAATCTTAAAGTGTTTTCATATGGACTCTCAAGCAGGGAGTCCGTCAAGGTGTCGCTGCCTTTTATGACACTTGGCTGTGGTCTTAATTTAATACATGAGCGAAAACAGCAACAGAAACTCTGTTGTAATACAAATGTAGACACTTATGCAACATTTACACACACACACACACATGTGTGTGTTGAGATAGCTATCAAGTACACAGCTTTATATATGTACCTATATAAATGTATATATATATAACTCAGCTGTGTATGTACAGTGTACATATGTACGTAGAACAAAGCGTTTGTTTTATATAAGCAGCGAGGCAAGGAAAAAATCAAAATAACATAAAAAGTAGCAGCAAGAAGAAGAAGCACAAGAAGAAGAAGAAGAAACAGCAGCAGCAGAATCAGCAGCAGCAGAAGCAGCAGCAACAGCAACAGCAACAGCAGCAGCAGCAGCTGCAAAATCAGTTTCGTGGCAAGAAATGTGGTCGGGGTTGGGTGCCTTTGTCACCAGAGCGGTGCTCAAATACTATTGGTGCAGGAGACAGGAAAAATCGCCCCCATGTTAATGTGTCGTTTCATGTGACACCAATGGCACACACACACACACACACACGCTGACACACACACACACACACATAGATTTGTGGCGCAATCGCATAGCCAGTAAAGCAGTAAAGTCGTCGCAGCCGTCGCTGTTTGCAGCAAGCGAGAGGTGTGCTCACCAACACACACACACACACACACACACAGACATAGAGAGGCACTCTCAAAAGGACACACACACAGTCACAGTCGGGCAGGCCATTCATTGGTGTTTACTAAAAAGAGACGGACACACACTCTCCGCTCTCCGCTCTCCACTCTTTGGTCTTTGGTCTCCACACTCGGTTCTCAGTCGCTGCCGCCCCCTTCGTCTAAGCGCAGCGCAGTGGACAAGAAATCAAATGACAAAAATTTTGAAAAGAACGAGCAAAAAATGTTACAACAACAACAACAACATTATTACAATAACCCCCCCTCCCCAACACACACACACACACACATACACACAGCATATAATGAGACGAACACAAAGCGACGGCTATTCTGAAGCACTCAACAGCGCTGCTGCAGTCGACGTCGCTGCCGTCGCTAGAGCACCAGCGACAATAAGCAGCGACAACGACGAATTGGCTGCCCATTGCCATTTCATTCGTACAAATGAGGGGGCCGACTCGCTTTAGCTCTGTCACACGCGGACTGGCTAATGGTGCGACACTCGCACACGCATACACACACACGCACACACACACATATATACAGAAAGAGAGAGAGAGAGAGAGAGAGAGCGCACTGGCGCTCTTTGGTTGGCGAGCGAGCAAATGACACAGCTTTGACGCTGTCGGCTGCGGGAGAGTGAGCCACAGCTGAAAGGTGCGTGAGCATGCAGGTGTATGTGTGTCTGTGTGTGTCTATGTGTGCGAGTGGTCGTCGCTCGTTCGTTCGCTCGCTCGCTCGCTCGCTTGCTCGCTCAGTCAGCAAACACAAATACGTCGCATGTCAACCACTCGTCCACTGCGACGACAATGTGCGAGTGAGCCGGCAATAGCCGAAAAATATCCCTTGCGCTGCTCGCACGACCACAACTGTCCATGCCCATATGTATATGCCTGTATGGCTGTACGTGTGTGTGTGTGTGTGTGTATGTGAGACGCCCACGCGACCAGCATTGAATTGCTCTCTTAATCTGTGCACTACTTGCATAAATGTCACAATTTGACAGCATATGAAATTAATTTTGAAAATGCAAACGGTAAACGTCAGCAACGGCGATTTACTGCTAATTAACATTTACGAATAATAATAATGATAATAATAATGCAAGAGCGAGAACCAAAAAAAAGATGCAAAGAGAGAGACGTGTTTCTCTTTGACTGTGCACTGCTTAACCGACAGCGAGTCGTAAACTCGGCATGTGTAAGCCACACAAGTGCGACTGAGAGAGATGCTCATACCAATAGCGCTGTCGCATTTATTTGCGTGTGTGTGTGTGTGTGTGTGTGTGATGACCCAACGACGACAACAATGTGACACAGACTAAGCACACATGTGTGTGTGTGTGTGTGTGTGTGCATACACATAAACTCCTACAACTACAACTACAACTGCAGGCCAATTCCAATAGCGCAAGAAGCAGCTTCGTTTCTCGCCTCTCTGCTCTCACACAGACACAGACACACACACACACAGACGCACACAGAGACAGCGCTCGCTCGCCCGTTGGCTGGCTGCGTTTCAGGTAGACATTTGTGGGGCAGTTACGTTGAACTTGTCCGCTGCTGCGTGTCTGCCTCGCTGCTGCCTCGTTGCCGTCGCTGCGAGAGAAAAGTGTCACCCACCCCGCAGTCGCAGTCGCTCTGTGCGTGTGTGTCTCTCTCTGTGTGTGTGTGTGTGTCTCTCTGTGTGTGTGCGCGTTTGTGTGTTGCTGCCGCTGGCTCTGCTCTTGTCGCTGTCGCTGTCGCATTTGTCGTCGCTGTCGTCGTCGTCGTCGTCGTCGTTACATTTTTTCTGCTCGCAGCCGCACGACAATCAGTGTCACCCACGACTTTCAAAGAAGTGGATCTCTTTTGGTGTTGCTGCTGCTGCCGCTTCTGCTGCTTCTGCTATTTGTCGCAGTCACAGTCACCGTCACAGTCACAGTCACAGTCACCGTCACAGTCACCGTCACTCAAATAACTGTTACTTCGTTTTGCGCGTTTCCGTTTATTTGTGTGCGTGAAATTTGTTTAAATTGCCGTCGCGTTTGTGCAACAACAACAACAACAGCAACAACAAAAATATCAAAAATATCAAAGCAACACTTGCCACTTGAATAAAAACCAAATAAAATAAATCAAAAATCAGAGAAAAAGCAGAAATTCACAAAAATATGTGCAGCTAATTGAAATTTTTTTGGTGACATCTTGAAACAATAATCAACCCAACAAATCAACGCCTACAAAATAATTGTTTAAAATTTATTAAACGGACACCAAATTGTAAGTAAATTCCAACATTTTATACGAGTTTATTTTTTTTTTTTTTTGTTAATTTACCGTCGGCATCGGGAGTGGCAAAAAAAAAAAAAAAAAAAACAAAAAATACAATTATGTTTAACAAATTTCTTGCGAAAAGCCGAAACTTGTAATAAAGATTTTGGTCGTTTTCAATGTTGCTTGAGATACAATTCAAGATACAAATGCGAGGCTCAGCACTAGCCCCGAGTAGAGACCAAGAGACCAAGAGACCAAGAGACCATAGATCAGCATCAGCATCAGCATCAGCATCATTACCATCATCATTATTATCATTGTCAGCCTCTCTTGTCCGTTCATTGCTCCTCCAATTGTTGTTGCTGTTGCTGTTGCTATTGTTGTTGTCGATGTTGCTGCTGCTGCTGCTGCTGCTGCTGCTGTTTCTGTTGCTTGTCCGTCCGCTGCTTATTATAATGTGTACCAACAGCAACAACCAACAGCAGCAGCAACAACGATAAACGATAAACAGGAGTTGTTGTCGTTTCTCGTCAACTCTTGGAATTTGTGACTTTCAACATGCCGATAATAAAAAAATACAAAACACAACAACAACAACAACAACAGCAACAATAATAACAACAACAACAAAAGCAAACAAAACACATTCGACGCGCTGGCCATCAAAACTTGTGATTGGTTTTTTTCTTTTTTTTTCTTTTTTTTTGCTGGTTGTTGCTTTCGTATTTTAAGACGTTTAAGCCGTTTGACAAAAATAATTACCACATGTACACACACACACACACACACACACACACACACACACACAGTTGCATTACACATTTGTTGTTGTTGTTGTTGTCGTTATAGTTACAATCATTTCTAATGAGCCCATGCCATAAAAAGAGTTTTGAACTAATCTTAAGCAGGCAGCGCAAATCGCTATAAATCAGCTTTCTATTCTTTGTTTTGCCCCACTGTGCACCAGCCAGCCAGCCAGCCAGCCAGCCAGCCAGCTTACTTGCCAGTTATCTGCTTACCAGCATAGCAGTAAACAGTTTAAGCTTTGTCTGATCTTACTGACCAAATATGCTCCTGTCTTGTCTTAGGGCTGTCTCTCCTCAAATCAAATATTCATTTGCAATTTGTACTATTCATTATGTATATATATAAGGTGACTTTTCATGCTGTTTTCATGCATTCTTTCAGGCTGACCAAACTAGATTTATATACAAAATATACACTCAGATTAAATTCGATGCACTTTTGGCGCCAATAATAATTCACTTTGTTGTTCAGCAAGTGTAATTTCTCAGGATTTCCCTATTCTCAATTTCAGGACTCAATTTTCGAAAATTAGGGCAAACTATTTCTAGTTTTCAGAGTGTTTTTTCTTCCTCCATTTTTCTGCTGTTGTTTTATTGTTCATTAATACATTTTAGAAGAGAATTTATTTCCTGGCTCGGACGTGGAATGACTTCCCACTGAGCAGATGACAGACCACAGATCACAGATAACAGCTTAACTCGAATATAAAACTTATTTTTTTAAATTTTCTAAAGGATTTTTCTAATGCATTTCCTAAATGATATGAAACTTATTCTAAGAAATACAAAGAAAACCGCAAACTTTTGGGATTGTCGACTTGGGACGAGCCTTTGCCATTTTTAGACATAGTTTTTCTTAAATTCTTTGTAGTTTTTCATTTTTTCTTTCTTTTTTTTCTGAGTGTATGCAAGTGTCTGTGTGTGTGTGTGTGTGTGTGTGTGTGTGTGTGTGTGTGTGTGTGTGTGTGTGTGTGTGCGTGTGTGTGTGTGCATACTTATTTTGCTGTCATTTGCGCATGTGTTTGTTGCACACTTAAGATTATTTCCAAATGATAGCGAGAGAGATTAACAGAAAGAGAGGGAGATAGACAGAGAGAGAGAGGCAAGGGTGATGGCGTGGGGGGAGGGGGAGGGGTGAACATGAGGAGACCGCTAACAATTGTCCCCATCTCGGGTGTCCCACTCCCCCTTCCCCTTCCCCTTCCCCCACCCCTTCCCCATCGCCCAGTTCGTGGCACCTCGTCGCCGCAACACTTTGGCCATCAATTTTGCGTCGCTCGTCAGTCACAATTACAGTAGCGCGCGGCACGCGGGGCAGCGGTGGGGCAAGCGGGGCAGGCGGTAAAAAACACGGCAACAACAATAAAAAGCCACTTGGACTAGCTGCCGATCACCGCATGTTGCCATCGTCGATGTCGTCGTCGTCGTCATCATCATCTTTGCGGTTTTAATGGGGGCCCCAAACAGCCAAAAAAGCTGTAAAGATTTTGGCCAAGCAAATGAGTATAAATGTTCTAAAGGCGACAGACGACGGACGACGGACGGTGGACGGTGGACGGTGGACGGTGGTTTCTAGTGGGACACATACATTTTTGTTGTTGTCGTTTCGTATGCTTGAAAAGACAGCTTTTGGACTGGTCTAATCCATCGAATCTAGTGTGTCATATACCGTCAGATACCCAGCGAGTAGTTGACCGCCTCTTGGCCTGCCCGCTCTCCAAGCTTCCACTCATTAGCCAGTCGATGCCAGTCGGACAGCATACAGTGGTGCTGGTGCTGCTAATGGATATATCCAAAAAAATGAATATTCTAATTTAGTAAGTAATGCAATCAACTGCTTTCGATCCGTTGCCAAATCATCAGCAATTGGCCAGAGGGGAAACCAGTTAGGCTGTCAGCCATATTAAATCAAATAGTAATTGATCAAAGTTGATCGGAGTTGATCGCGAATTGCATTATGTTGATGTTTTCATAATGCATCTCATATTTTAATTGGACACTGATTTTGACCCACTGTGCGCTCGTCGCAGCAGATTTGCGCAGCAGATTTGATTTGAAATCTGTAATTGGAATGCTTGCTGCTGTCATCTGAACTGGTCCGGCTGCTGCGACAGAGAGAGTGAGAGAGAGGGAGAGAGAGAGACAGACTGGGGCACAAATGTTCAACGATGATAACGCAAAAGTCGCAAAAACTTGAGCAACTTTTGCCACCCTCCAACCAACAATTTACCCTACACACACACACACTGAGGGAGACTTTATTAGTTTCTGATTAGAATTTTGCCTTGACCTGCAAGCCATTCAAGCCATTCAAGTCTCCCCATCCACAATCCACAATCCCCTTTTCCGGCTCCCCGATAGACAGACTTGATTGACATCCTTGACAGTTGCCAGTTGCCCGTTGCCCGTTGCCCGTTGCCAGTTGCCCGTTGCCCGTTGCCAGTTGCCAGTTGCCAGTTGACACCACTGACGATAGATGCGAATAGTTTTTGGAGGGCCAATTGAGGACAAAATCAGCACGACACTTGTTTTGTTGTTATTATTTTGTTGTTGTTGTTTTGTTGTTGTGTTTTTTGTTTGTTTTTTGTTTTTGGTTTTTATTTTTTGTTTTGAATAGAACAGTTGCAGTTGAATCGATGTTGCAGCGAGTGGAGAAAGTGTTTACGCTGCCGACGGCAAAAATAAATGCTGAATTTATATATTGCTTGTATCTCGTTGAATGCGTTTGCAACTGGTAAATATTTGTGTTACCAATCCTCAAATCAAATCACCATTGCGTATCTGTATCTGTGCAAATGTATCTGAAGATTGCCGTCAAAAAGATACACTTGTATCTCGCTGAGCCGCTGTAGAATAATCAGCCCAGATTCTCAACTGGTTCATCAAATCGAACACTTAATATTCATATATATATATATATATATATATATATATATATATATATATATTGCCAGATATAGTTATGCTTTGCATATATCTACGGTCTACAAATAAATTCAGCTGTCAACTGTCAGAGAGACAGGGAAATAATATGGCTCATTTGCAAAGCAACTCCAAAATTGAATTGTATTTTTTAATAAACATGAGAATTTTAAGATTTTAGTTGGTTTTTAAATGCATTTAATTTGATTCTAGCTAAACTCGAATATTATTTTAGAAAGGATTCGAAATGTGTTTCTTAATAATCGAAAATATTTCTCAAAAAAAAGAAAAAGAACAAAAAAATAATATTTTTTGAATTGTTGAGCTTTTCTAATTTGAAGAAAAATGGTATTGCTAGCAACAAGAACAACTAGCTCTGGCTTTTCTCTGAGTGTATCTGTGTTTGTGTCTCTTCTAGTAACTTATCTGTTAGCAATACGCTTGATCTCCAACAGAGTTGACAACTGTTCTCTCTCCATTTATAATTGCAGCACTCGAACCAAGGCCACCGCCGTCGCCACCGCCACCGCCACAATGGAGCACATTATGAACACGTTTATGTCGCCCGCTTATCTGCTGGGACACCCGCATGTTCATCCCCATGCCCATGCCCTGCCCCATCCCCATGCCCACGCCCACGCCCATGCCCATGTCCATTCGCATATCGGCGCCAAGTCGCCAGCCAGTTCACCGGACGCAACTGGAGCTGCTGCTACAAATGGAACGGCAACTGGAAGTGGAACTGGAAGTGGGTGTGGAACTGGTGGCGTGAACAAAGTGAACACAAATTCGCACTCAAGCTCGAAGCCAAAGCGCTGGGGCTCGCCACCGATCAACTTGGCTGGTCAATTCATCAATCCGGCGACGGGTAAGAAGCGCGTCCAGTGCTCGATCTGCTTCAAGACCTTCTGCGACAAGGGTGCGCTCAAGATCCACTTTTCGGCGGTGCATCTGCGCGAGATGCACAAGTGCACCGTCGATGGCTGCAACATGGTGTTCAGTTCGCGACGATCGCGCAATCGTCACAGCGCCAATCCCAATCCCAAGCTGCATTCGCCGCACATTCGCCGCAAGATTTCGCCGCATGACGGACGCACCGCTCAACAGTTTCCCGTGTTTCCGGCGGCTGCTGCAGCTGCCGCTGCGTTTCCGGGTCTGTTGCCGCCGTCGCATCCACACCATCCACACCATCCACATCATCCGCATCATCCACACCATCCGCATCATTATGGACCGGCGGCGGCTGCAGCTCATGCCATGTTCGCCGGCCAGTCTGGCTTGCATAATCTTGGCCTGCTCGCTGGCCGGGCGCACCACGAGCGCATCTTTGCGGATGTGGATGTCGATGCAGATGTCGACGCGGATGTCGATGCGGATGTCGATGCGGATGTGGATGCGGATGCGGATGCCGATGATGATGGTGTCTATGTGTATGTGGACATGCATGCGAATAGCTCCAGTCCAGCTAGTCAGGAGTGTCACAGCGATGTGGAGGCGGATGCGGATGCGGATGTCGATGCGGAACTGCATTGCAGCCTGAGCCTGGCCAGCAATAGCATGAGTCACACCAGCTACGACGAGGAGATGCCCAGCACCGAGCAGCCCCTCGACTTCAGTCTGCACAAGCGTCGCGAACCGGAATCGGAACCGGAGCCGGAACCGGGCCGAGTGGAATCAGCAGCTGCAGCAGCAGCAGCAGCCGAGTCAAAACTGGAGCTAGTCGAGTATCGCATGAAGCGTTCGCCAACTCCCTGCGCCGGCAGCGGCTTCTCCATGGATCGGCTGCTCGGCAAGCGGCGGCGTCACAACAGCTGCAACTCCACCAAATCGCAGGAGTCGGCGGCAACAGCCGCAATCAAAATGGAACTGCAACTGGAGCTGGATGCCGATGGCGATGCCGATGCCGATGGCGACGGCGATGGCGATAGTCGTGGCGAGTCGATGGGGCACAGTGATCACGGCGAGCACGCGCACGACTTGTCGACGCCGCAGAACAACCGAAAACACCTGCCGACCAGCTGCTGCTCGCCTCCAGTCGCCTCCTCGCCAGCAACCGCAATGAGCCCGAACTCTAACCACATGATTAGCGCCGGCTGCGGCGGCTCCAGTTCGGTTAATGTGCTGGCGCCATCGCCGCCCGGTTTGCTCTTTGGCATGGATCTGGAGGAGCAGCATCATTTCCGTTTGCTGCAGACACAAATGCTTGCGGCCGCTGCGGCTGCGGCGGCAGCCACAAGCAGCGCCGCACAGTCGCCGTCGGGCGCTGCCGTCGCTGCGCCGTGGAATCTGCTATCCGAGGTCTATCGCACCATGCTGCTCGGCAGCAGCAGCAGCAGCAGCAGCAACAGCAGCATCAGCAGCGGCATCAGCGGCATTGGCAACTTGAAGGCGCCACAAGCGGCGCCAACGACGCCGCAGTCGGCGCAGTACAGCGACATGCCGCCCACCAATGCCGCCATCTCAGTCTAAGAGTCTGCCCCCTCCCCCCCCCCCCCACTCGCTTTGGATGCCACATCGGGCACATCCTACCGGATCCTCGTGCAAACAGTTTGGCAATTAGAAAATCTTTCAAATCTTGTATAAATTAGATGTTTTCCCCTCCCCCTATTTTTTTTTGTAATTGAAATCAAAATTGAATTTGTAAAAAGGATCTCGTTTCTAGGATCTGATTGATCTGGATTGGGATTTTATCATATGAATAATATACAATGCTGGCTGACAGTTCCGAACTTAGCTTTTCAACTCGTACTTGTGTTATATACATATATAAAAATCCGTTTTTTTTTTCTCAACACAAATATACATATATAGTATATAGCAAATATATATATATATACGAAATATATATAAAAGTTTTTTTTTTTTTTTTTAATCTAAGCTATTGCGACATCAAAGTGTATAGTATTCAATCCGTTCCTCAATGAAACTTCAAGTGGGAAAGTATGTTTATGCATGTGTGTGAGTGTGTGTGTGAGTGTGTGTGTGTGTGTGTGTGTGTGTGTGTGTGTGTGAGTGTGTGTGTGTGTGTGTGTGTGTGTGTGTGTGTGTGTGTGTGTGTGTGTGTGTGTGTGTGTGTGTGAGTGTGTGCTTTATTCAGTCGATGCTAAACTCTTTCGGGCCACTGTGCGGCGTGCAACGAAGTATTGATATTTATAAATATTATTAAAAAGCAAATTATATTAATAATATATTATGTAATTTTAAGTGCAACAATTTTTTTTCATAGCCAATAACTATTTGTATGTGTAACTAACTTTATATTGTATACTAGGTATATATTAGTACTACTTTATACATATATACAAAACAAAACAAAAAAGAAAAAACCCCAACAAACAAAAAAAAATACAGAACAAAAAACTAAACACATAAAATTAAAAAAAGAAAAACAAAAGAAAACAAAAAAAAACATATCTCATTTGTTTCCGCCCCGTGTATTTACTGCTCCTTGGATCCCTTCAGTTTAAGATTACTAAATCTATCGATGTGTACTAGAAATGTTATTGCTCTATCGAAAATCGACAAATCGACAAATCGAAAATCGACAAATTTGCTCCCTTAGAGATTCATTGTGTATTTGATAATGGTATTTGATTTGAACAATAAAACCAAACAAATTTTAAGAAACAATTAACATAAAATGACTTCTGATTTATTTATTCATTTCTTTTTTATTATTATTAAATTCCCGCAATTTATAAGCAAATTGAGGATGATTTTCAGTTACACAGATGGCTGCACTTCAATTATATTATTTAATTTTGGGTAAATATTGCTCAAAATATGGCAAAAAAGTTGCTCATTTAAGAGCGCATCTTTGGACAGATCGTGCCGATTTGAGACTCTTCCGATGCGCTCAACTCCAAGATATACGCTGACCTCAGCAAAAGGACATCTATTCCAGAACTAGGCTGGTGATGCTGCTCAAGTATAGCTATACTTTATCGGTTTACGATATTACAATGAACTCATCCGACTATTAAGAATGGTGGGATCCCACTTGGCCGTCATTTGTTTCCGTTTTGAGTTGATTTCAATAAAAACTAGCTGATTATCATAGCTAATCAGCTTAAGATAAATCGGCTTTGTGATACTCGCTATAATCTAGATAAATACTTCCGATTCAACGGTTGCCATAATTAATAGAATCAATCAAAATGTGGACAACTGCTTGCAAGGAAGAATATTTATTTTTTAATCTGACATATCGCTTGAGGAAAGATGCTTATTATCATTGTTTAAGAAAGAGGTGAGAATATTTTCAATAAAAATGCGATTTAGAAAAGAGCTAAAACTCATTTATAGGATTCGAACTGTAAATGATGACCAGCAAAAAGAAAACTCTTCATTTTCACTTAGTTTAAACATCAAATGTGTTATTCAAAAAACTTCAGAATATTTTTATAATTTTTGTTTATGTATGAGAAGAAAAAAAAATAAAACTGGTTCGTCAAAATTAATCTCAATTTGGAAGTCAGAGTTTCAAAAAGGTTTGTTGTAAACCTTTTTGGGAGAGCAGCGATATAGATGTACATATTTATATGTGTGTTGATTTAGTTGATCTATATAACTGGTCGGATGGCAGCCACATCATCATCATCATAATCATCATCACATCATCGTTATGGATAGGCATTTGAGGCCACTTATGTACAGATTACAAGCACGAACAAGCAAAACACACACAGAGAGAGACACACATCTGAGATAGACAGACACTCAAATGGCATTTGAATAGAACATTTGCTGCGTCTCCAAATGCCGAATTCAAAATGTTTTAATACAAGATATATAAGAATGGAGCTGCTGGGATCCGTGACTGAAGGTGGACCGTGCATAGTTGCGTGAAACCGAACCCGAACGCAAAATTGATATGAATGCGTGAACACTGTGAAAATGTCAAGTGCTGCCTCGAGGGGGGAGTTGGTGGCATGTCGGGAAAAATGAAATATAATAAAGGATATGTGAGCGAGCGAGCGGGACAGAGTGTGAGCGTGCGAGCGAGTCAGGCAATCCGTCAGTGGGTCTGTGGGTCTGCGCGTCAGTTAGACAGCTAAATGCTTGCCACATTATGAGATGATCCTTGGCAGCGTTGTCACTTGAGACACACACATACACATGGTGGTGGTGGTGGTGGTGGTGATGGTGATGGTGGTGTGGTGCGGAGCATGGCAACCACAACGACAGCACTGTGAAATGGCTGCCCTCTCATCTCTGGGGATCTATTTACTTTTAAGTTTTTTGAATTGGATGATGTCACGAGACTGGAGCCAGCAGCGGGCTCGGCGGGCAACTGCTGCTCTGCTCTGCTCTGCTCTGCTCCGCTAGTGGGTGACTTTTGTGCTCAAGTGCTTTGCCGATGCGACGGAACAAACGGAAAAGGTTTCGCTTCGTGCATCCCATTTTTTGTTCACTCCGTACACATTTTGGTTTTCTTTTTTCTTTTTCTTTTTCATTTTTTTATTTGTGGCCTTATGAAGTATTAGAAAAATTTACAAAGCGTTAAAAATTAACATTTCAAATGGGATTGCGATTGTGCTGAATATGTGTGTATTTTGGGTGTGTGTGTGTGTGTGTGTGTGTGTGTGTGTGTGTGTCTGCTTCGTCGCTGGGGGGATGCAAATGCGTTTATTTTTGGAGACAATTGAAAACCACTCGAGGGTTATTGAGATGTGACAGTCAAGTAGTCGGAGACGAACACGCAATCGTACATGGAAACGGAGACGGAGATGCCAAGGGAGATACACAGAGAGAGAGAGAGAGAGAGAGAGAGAGAGAGAGAGAGAGAGAGAGAGAGAGAGAGAGAGAGAGAGAGCGAGTGAGAGTGAGAGGCAGAGAGATTCGCAATGTTGCGGCACGTCGAGCTAACTTGACGTTTGAAATAGGATCAACTGCTTTGCAATTTTGGCCAGCACGAATTCATTTGGCATCAGACACGGCTATGAATACATGCATGATGTATGTATATGCATATGTATATGTATATGTATATGTATGTGGTAAACTCATTTACATACTGCCTGCTGCAGATACAACTAAACAATGTCCAGTGCCACTGACAATGTGGCTTATGACAGCCGAATGACACTTGCAAAATCTTGCCACTCATCTATAGAATTGAGCCAGTAAACAGCTTCCATTGTGCATTCAACTTGGTTCTACTTGGTCAATGGGCATAAATTTCAAAAACGTTGAATTCTGATCAGCCAAGAACTCTGTTCTAAAATACAAACTTCAAATATCTGTCGGGATATGGAACAATAATTGGAATCAAAAATGTTAATTTCCGTTCTTTTAGTTGTTGATGTTTAAATACTTAAAATATTTGATTTTATTAATAGTAAATAATGAAAGTATTTGTGTATCATAGTAGAATGTGGCAAGATGTATTCAAGCGTAATTCTTATATTAATTATATTATGTTGGGTCTCTCTTGATTGCATATATCACATACATAATATTATAAAAGTTACCATTTGAAATTTTCAAAGTTCGAATTCCGAATTCCACTGCTTGGTTGAAAGTGTTTTTGTTTTGTTTTGTTTTTTATTTTTTGATGGTATCAGCAGCTGGAGTTGAGCTGACTTTGTGTAGATTTATATAGTTTGTCATACCGGTTAATTTGGGGTCGCCAACTGGTTGCCAGAACAAACTGATAAGCTTCTGTTTAGTACTTCAGATGCATCATGAAACGCATTCAGATTTGGGTAATTGTCAATGCCAACAGCAACTGAAAATTATATATAAAAAAAAAAAATAAATAAACAGAATCAGACGAGGGACTAGAAAGACATGAGACAGCTTCGATTCCGAGTAAATAAATATACTTAATTTTAATGACACAGAAATTGCTGGTAAAGTGCTCGCTGATTGAATCTCGTTAGTTGCTCGTGTCGGAGTGCTAGGAGACTGGGAGACGGGGAGACTGGGAGACGGGGGGAAACTGGGCAACTGGGCAACTGGGAAACTGGAAGACTGGGAGAATACCAAGAAGCGGCACCGGTCGCTCTGAGTACTTGTGGCAATTAATTAGACATTTTAATTTACATTTCATGGGAGCAAAAAGCAGCCACAGGTGAGTTTATTCGACATATGTATTTGTCTGCGTGTGTGTGCGTGTGTGTGTGTGTGTGTGTGTGTGTGTGTGTGCGTGTGCGTGCTTCTAGAAGAAAACGAGCAACATTTGGACAAGTGGCAAAGTGGCAAGTGCTGTGCTGGAAGAGCGAAAAATGCTTTTTCTATTTTCAATTTGGTTTTTCCTCTATTCAATCTTATCAATCGTTGACCCATTGCCTTAAATGTTTGCTGCATTTTTTCAGTTTTCTCCCAAAATATCTTCGGTTCTTTGTTTCATTATTTTTCTTAATTACATTTGAAATGTTTATAACCATTAACCTCAATATCAGTTGTGTAAAATATAATGCCTTATCTTTCTGTGCTTGATGGATTTTAATCAAGATAAAGTTTTATATTTTTTTGGCACACAATCTGAATGAATTTATACAAGTGTAAAACATATATGATATATGATATATATGTACATACAAATGTATTAGCGATCGGTGTCTGTCTCTCTCTGATATATCTTGAAGATCGATTACATTTTCTAACTTGGAACAATCGGCGCAAAATTTCAAATGGGAATGTATATAAATACGTAGAAATAATTATGTATATATATATATATATATATAGAAGAAGGTATCAGGAAGGGTATCCAGCTGGGCAAATACTCCACCCACTCCAATAACTAGTGCGATAAATGGCTGTAGCTCAGTTTTGACT